TCTCATACTTGGAAGAGATTTTCTATGTCATCTCATTCAATAACACATCTCAAGCTTGTCTGCTGCCTTCCCTCTGGGTGGCCATTCTGTTTTGGTGAACAGAAGTCCCTTGGTGAGCAGAATATAGCTGTGACCTCCTAAGACGGCCTAACTGTCATCAGAAGCCCATCCCCTGGCAAAAATCTGTCATCTATTCATTGGTTTCCTTGTAACCCTTGGTGTCTTGCAGTTAAGCCGACAAAGCACTGTGATGTTGCTGTTTTTTCTGACATCATACTTTATCTTGTATATGCACACTGAAAGCAGACATATTTTCAGAGATAATTGCCTCTGTCATTCTCTCCCCCTTTTAATTACCATTTTATGCTTATTTGTTTAATTAATAAGCATATTTTCCGAGCAGGAATTATGTTTTATCTTATGCATCTTCTCAATAATTTTCCTTAGGGAAGAAATAGGATAATTGGGATATATCATTCTGCTTAGGCAGCTTCTCAGAATTCCTTCACGCTTCCCAAACTCTAGGGCTAAACAAACTTGTTCTCCTAGCACTTAGCCCTTTCTGTTATCAATACAAAGATTTATGAGTAAACAATCCATTCACTAATTCAACACATACTTATCATCTTTTGTGCACCAGCAGTGATTTAGGGACACAGTGATAAGCAAAATCAGGTGTGATATCTACCTCTTTAGGGCTTTCACTCTATTAATATTAATTATTTACATAAGTAAATGTAAAGTTGCAAGTATAAGGAGTTCTCTGAGAGAACAGTACACAGTGTTGTGAAAGCACAAAATGGGTAGTTATCAGTGTCAGAGAAGCCTTCCCTGGAGAAAGATGAAGCAGAGGCCCAGTAAAAGTTAAAATAAGCTAGGAGAAAGGGAGAGGAATGTCACTTGAGGAAGAAGAGACAACATGAGCAAGCCCTTTTGGCAAAAGGCAAAAGGAAACATGCCACATTCGAAGGACAGAAAAAAAGCCAGTGTGATGAGGTTGAGAAAGCGAAGAGCGATAGCAAATGGGATGAGCCTGGAGAGACAGAAAAGATTCAGACCATTCAGGGAAGAAACATTAGCATTAATTTGGGGAATGTTTTGTGGACAGAGCAGCCTTCAAATGCTTGTAAAGAGCATTCCTTGGAAAGTAGCTGAACAAAAATACAAGAGAGAACAGATAGTGAGAAAAGACTGCTTCAACTAGTAATTTTGGAATGGAAATGTAACATCCAGGTCCAGCTTGTGATCTGGGGAAGAGGTGGAGTGGAAGTTCTTGTTGACAATAACTAAGTCAAAGACTTGGCAGGCCAGGCATTGGGTGGGTCATTTCTTGGATGCTGAAATCATCCAGGGATTATGGCAAACCTCGAGGTGGAGAAAACCATAACTCAGTGCCAAAGGCTTTGATGAATGTGGGGAAATGACCAGGGGGTCACAAATAATTGAAAACTGACCATTGTGGCCATGGCTCTGCAAGAATTTGTATATTTTCTCTGTTGGGCATTATATCTTCTAAAGGTTAATGCTAATGGCCATTGCAAATGAATGTGATTACAGTATTTATTAGCTTTATAAGGCCCTATAATTTTATGATTTGAGTGCTTCATGGACATATCAAAAAGTTGGAGAAGAATTTTCAGGTGAAGAGAATAAATAAAGAAAACTAAAGTGTAAGTCTAGAAATGTCCCTCAGGATATAGAATTCAAGACCAAGAGAAAGTTTACTCTGCAGGGGCTGGAGAGTCAGCAAAGGCTGCCATTGTTTGGTGGAAGCTTGTGGTCACTATAGGAAGAATCACTTGCCAGGGGCCTGCTAGATAGATTGCAGAAGGGGAGAAGGCCGGAAGGAGCACAATTATGATTTGGCTGTAGTTGTCAGGATGAGGCAGATCAGATCAGTCAGAAAAGAAGGTAAAGAAAGGGTGCTATAAGATATTTCAAAGGGCAATGCTTTGCGAACTCAGTCACCAACAGGAATGAGGGTCATATACTGTAGTGACTGTTAGAGAAGTAAAGCCATAGGCAGAAACTGCAGTCAGGAAGTGGTTCATCTGGCAGAAGAACGGACGTTATATTTCTGCTTCTGGAGCACATCTAAGGGAGGTTTCCAGCTGGTGACAGATGCAGGTGGTGAACTCAGGGGAAGGTGAATTGCAAAAGCCTCCTGTGCTCTCATAATAAATGCCCATCTTAGCCTCCTTGTTTTTTTTTGTTGTTTTTTCTGCAGCCCACAGGTACTCCTTTCTTCCCCATCCATTTCCCCTCATGCTTTTCATTAACTCCTTGCTGTTCTAAGCTTACATCTATATTTTTAAAAAATTTGTTGATTTGAGTGAGAGAGAGAAACATTGATTTGTTGTTCCCCTTATGCATTCATTGGTTGATTCTTATCTGTGCCCTGACCGGAGATCGAACCTACAACCTTGGTGTATTGGGATGATGCTCCAACCAACTGAGCTACCTGGTCAGAGCTTCATAAGCTTAATCCTCCTCTCTCCACCTATAGTCCCCTTTCGCAAACATTGTGTTTCCTAGAACCTCTCCCCCTTTCTTTCTTAGTTCTCTTTACCTGTGTCCCCACATCCCTAATCCCCTTGATATGCTTTATTGCTGTTACCCTTGTCAGTTCTGTCCTCCAGACTTTGGGCTTTAGAGGACAGGGACTCTTTCAAAGGGTTTGTGATCTAGACTCCTCTGGTTTAATCATTTGTTTAATGGATTATGTAATTGATTAATTAATAGGTTTTTCTATTTTGAAGAGTTTTACATTCTGAAGCTTCCATTTAAGGAAAATGAATGGGATAAAAGAATTCAAAACAAATCCACAATCCTAAATATCATAGATAAATTTACAAAGTTTCAAGAACTTATGCATACTTTTCATATTACAGTGGTTCTGACTGTTGTATCACAGTGCTTGAGTTGAGCTTGGCCCTTATTTATTTTGTCCCCTTTCCTAATGCACTCTCTAACAAAACAAGCAGAAACCTAGTTAGAAGAGGAACATTTTTTTCTCAGAAATAAGGAAAAAACAACTTCTTTCGCCCACATCTTCTCTAAAAGTCTACTGATATTTAAATTGTTAGTATAAACTGCTGCAATATGTATTTGCCTTCCAATAAAATTGTTTTTTAATTAATTATTATTTTTATTTTTTAATCCTCACCCAAGGATGTTCACTGATTTTAGAGAAAGGGAGAGAGAGCGGGAGAAAAACATCGATGTGAGAAAGGAACACTGATTTGTTGCTTCCCTTGCATGCCCAGACTTGGGATTGAACCTGTAGCCTAGATATGTGTCCTGACCAGGAATCGAACCCACAACCTTTTGGTGTACAGGACAATGCCCCAACCAACTAAGCTACCTGGCCAGGATAAAACTGGGTCTTTTAAATCTCAGTTCTCTCCATTTCAGTAACACCTCTCTTTCTGCATCTGCACTGACAATGTCACAGGAGCCTCCCTGACTAGACCTCCTCAAGGACTTGTTGCTGCACCTGGCTAGAGCAGAGAGTAGAGGAAGCAGAAAGTGGGAGTGACATACATTTAGTAAATGCTCCTAGAGAAAAGGAGCCGGGGGAGGTAAAACAGGTAGGAGGAAACATAGCAGAAGGCAGGGTTGAAATCCAGTAGGAGAATATGCAAATATGAAAGAGAAAGAAAGATTAATAGTTGTCAGAGTCTGGGGAGAGGGGAGATTGTGGAGTGACTGTTAATGTGGACTTTGGGGATGATGAAAATATTCTGGAATTAGTGGTGATGCTTATACAACTTTGTGGACATATTTTAAAAAATCACTGAGTTGTATGTTTAAAACACTAAAAAATAAACTTAAGGGAAATCCAGGGGTGAAGAGATTGGGACATGGAGAAGTAGTCAAGGCCATCTAATAGTGAAGCAGATGAAGACTGATTGAAAGCCTATGGGACTTGGTGATTAGGAAGGAAGTGGGGAACTTAAAGGGAGTAGTTTCAACAGAATGGTCACTCCCATTTCTTCTCCTTTCTGCTACATAAATTGTAACTCAGATGGTTATTCCTTCACATACTTTTATGTTGGCAAAATGTCTGATGGTTCTGCAAGTTCAGGAATGTGTTCATTGTGGGTGAGCTTGTGAAACTTTGATATGTGCTCATGCTCACTGAGACATCGTTATAAGTATGCCAGTCTTTCTGCCATTTTAAAACCAAAGTCATACAATAAAACCAGGTCAGCTCATGATGTCTTAATCTCAAACATAATTTCCAGTGGCCCTAAATAAAGCAGGCATTGCCTCCTTTGAATTCTGGTGATAGCTTTCAATTGTATGGCTATTTGGCAAGTTGTCCTGTCTTCTGTCAGTTTATTGATGGCGTACTGTTAGCCTTGTGATCCTGGGTCAACCATGTGTATTCTCTGAACCATATTGGCTCAATTTATAAACTTAGAGTAAAAAGAGAGTAATAAATCTTAATTTGAGCACCCCTTATGGCTTTGAAAACTATCAAGCAAATGTAAATAATGTTTAATTGATATTTATATAATATATATAATTGATTTCAGAGAGGAAGGGAGAGAGAGAGAGAGAGAAACATCAATGATGAGAGGGAATCATTGATTGGCTGCCTCCTGCATGCTCCCCACTGGAGATCTAGCTCACAACCCTGACATGTGCCCTTGACCAGAATCAAACCCAGGACCCTTCAGTCCACAGGTTGACACTTTATCCACTGAGCCAAACCAGCTAGGGCATGTTTAATTGATGTTTCAAATTAGAGAGACAGTTAAATTCTTTAGTGCTTTTGGCTTTATTTTGGTGTAGGACTAGTTCCCTTAATGACTAGTTTGTAGGATCATAGGCCTTGAATCTGTGTGTGCTTTACTAAGGCCGCCTGCCTTCTTCAGTACTAATTGGTTGAATTGAATATTGTTTAAATGAGAAAAATCCAGTATCATACTATGATTGACTTCTGTGTTGCCTTCATCTTTTTTCTTTATTTCTTTATTCTGCTCTCCTCTTAGGTTTCCCGAATGAGCCTGCTGCAGTGATTGCCCTCAGCACCATTAAGGAATGGCTGGCCAAGAATCACCACGAGGTAGGGAGAACTACACAATCACTGAACATTCAAGGTGGTGTAATTTCCAAAAATCACATAAATGTATTTTATAAATACCAAGTAGGCCTAGTCATTGAGCCAAAGCTAGATGATCGTGCTTCATTCAGGTACCACGAGTAATTGAGTATTTTCTTGTAATTAACTTACTGTAGGGATTACATTGATTGGTTTTGGTGGTGAAGAGGCAAAGTGATTGGAATCACTTAGCAATGACCTCATTTTTATATCTTTCAATAGTATAGGTCTTGTATGTAAGAGAGAGAACAGGATGGATTTCATTAAGAGGAAGAATGAGAGATTTTCCTTAGAAAGTTATGTTATCTTGGTTGACAGGAGATTCCTGGTATAGAGTAAAATTGTTGCATCCTCAGTTTTCTTTATATATAACTAATCTCTTCCATAAAGTAACTTTTGAGTATGAGATTGGAGTGGACTTGGATTATTGATAGTTAAATGGTCTTGATCAGGATTATTTATGAAACAAAATGCTTCCATCAGAGTATTCATCACACACCCTATTCTGCTTATTTATTAATATCTTTGGGATTTTTTTTCGATAAACAGGAAAGTTACTCAAGTAAACAAAGCAACACAATAAGTAGAGCACTGTGGAGGCTCAGATGTCAGAGGTTCAGAGGTTTGGCAATTAATAGCAAATAAGTTTCATACAGTAAACAGTCTTGTGCATTTTCTTCTGATTTTGTTTTCCTTCTCAGATATTCAGATGAGTACTATAAAAAAATGCTGTTCCATTTATGATGGACCATGAATTTAGTAGCTTTTTTCTTGGGTAACGGGTGGATTATTTGGAAATGTTTGGGTTTGGAAATAAACTGTTAGAGTTTCCTAATGAGAGATAACTCTTGATGCCTTTGTGTGTTTAAAAAATACCAGTGTCACATTTTGCTAATGATAGTAATTTCAATATTTCTTAAACAATTATAGGCATTGCTATCTCAAATAGAAGTGAAGACCAGATGGCAAAGCATATGCATTTTACCATTTGCTCTTTAGTTTCCTCCTACTTTGAAAGGTATACAAATGACAACTTCAATTTAGAGGATAATTTTAATAACCTCAAAGAAGCAGAGTAAAGAATTCTGAAATAGCCAGTTTGCAAAACATATCTTTGACAAGTATCATTTTCATGACAATCTTATGAAAAATCTAGGATAGGTATTGTTTTTCTTATCCTCATCTAGAATCACAAAGTTAAATGACACACTCAAGCCTTTAGAGTCAGAGAGACAAGAGCTTGACTCACCCCTCCTGACTCTCACAGTCATTCTTCCTTGGAATGCTCCTGAGGCAAGGGAAAGAAAGTTACACCCTTTGAAAGGCAGTATTTTCGATATATCTCTTGATCATAATAAAGACTCCTCACCTGGACCATCTGTTTTGCAAAAATATAGACGGTTTCATGAGTAAAAGTTGATAAATGAGCTGGTGTATGGTGCAAATCCATTATTTACTCTAATGGGATGCTCCCACTGATAGAAATTCACATGTGTCATATTGGCATGTGATGGAAGTACACAAAACCACACATAACATCAAGGAGGTGATAATGAAGAGCAAACATGTTGATCATGTTTATACCTTATTGATGAGTTCTACTGATGGATTCCTTTTAGTTAACTACTCAGAAAGTTATTTTCCATAGACATTTGTTATCTCAGTACTTCTACTTCATGGTTTTTGCTCTAATTTCTTTACAAGCCTACTATGTATTTGAGTCTGTTCTTTCACTTTCATATCCTTTTCTTGCTTATTTCTTGGGTCTATTGTAGAAAATGTAGATAATTTGAGTTGAGAAACACTTTTATTGCTATTGCAACTTTAAACACAAGCCATGCTAATTCTCTTTTAGAAGGCTTACTGTTCCAATATGCATTGGCTAGCCCAGCTCACATGGCACAGTGGTTGAACATCGGCCTGTGAACCAGGAGGTCATGGTTTGATTCCCGGTCAGGGCATATGCCTGGGTTGTGGGCTCAATCCCCATTGTGGGGTATGCAGGAGGAAGCCAATCAATGATTCTCTCTCATCATTAATGTTTCTTTCTCTCTATCCCTCTCCCTTCTTCTCTGAAATCAATAAGAATATGTTTAAAAATACATATTGGCTAATTTTAACAAGTTAGCTTGAACAATCAGGTTTTACTTTCATAAATGGTTTATAAGTGTAAGACGTGGAGAAAGCTATACAAATTGATTAGCACTATTTTTATTTATCTTTTGCTCTGTTAACAAACACTGGTTAAGGATTTATGAAAGTATTACTTCTTACTCAGTTGTCTCTTCATTAAAGTATTGTTTTGACATTCTGATTGCTTAAGTTATTTATTTACTTATTTATTTACTCATTTGATAAATATTTATTGAATTCCACTAAGCACAAAAAACTTTTCTAGATACAAAGTACATAACATGAAAAAAACGTAATTCTTTCTTTATGATGTTCATAGTCCAGAAAAAGTGAAACATAAACAAATGAAAAAATAAGAAAGTTCCAATACTATAAGTAAAACAGGTAATTGGATAGTTAGTTATAGGGGTGTATGGTTTTAGATAATATAGAGACTACTCTGAGGATGTACTCTTGGAACAAAGATTTATATGATGCGAAGGAGCAAGCCAAGCCTCACAGAGACCTTGTAGTAGGACATTTCACATAGAGGTAGCAAATAGAGAAAAACCTTGAGAGAAGAATGAGTTTAATACTGTTTGCAAGCAATGGTAAGAGAGATGGTGTAATTGAAGCAGAGGGATAAAAGAATGACAGGAGATAAACTTGGGACAAATAGGTAGGGGTCAGATCATAGAGTGTTGGAGTTTTGGGAGAGACTTTGATTTTTATTCTAAGTCCAGTTGGAATTTGCTGAGGGCTTGGGCAAGGAATGACATAATTGGATTTATCTTTAAAAAGACAGAAAGTCTGGCTACTTCCTGGAGAATGAGTAGATTTGAGAGATGTCAGAGTAGAAAAAGGAAGACTAAGAGGCTCCTGCAAAAAATCTAGGCAAGAGATGACGGTCTTTGGAATACAGTGATGATAGAAGAGGAGGTGACAACATTGTTTGTAATATATTTTGACAATAGAGTCAACAAGAGTTGGGGGTTATTTTAAGATAGGCTAGCTTATACTACAGTTACAAAAAACATCCAAACCTCAGTGCCGTAGAATAGCAAAGGTTTAATTTTTGCTCACCCTATTTGTATATTTTGAGTCAGCAAAAGGCTCTAGCTTAGTCAGGAACCCAGGCTGACAGATACTCTACCTTATGAAACATCCTCTATCACATGACAGGAAAAGATAGACAAAAGTAACAGCCCTTAAATGCTTCTACAAAGGATGATGCATATAATGTTCCCTCACATTTCATTATCCAGAGCAAGGCACCAAGCGGGCAGGGAAATGCAATCCTCTCATATGTTCAGAATAGAGGCAACTGGATATTGATAATTAGTAGTAACGTCTATCATAGTGGCAAGTCAAATGAGATACATGAAGAAAATAAAAGAGCCAAAAATGACCACTAGAGCCATGGCCAGGTGGCTCAGTGGCTTAGAGTATCACCCCAAGCACCAAATGGTTTCAGGTTTGATTCCAAGTCAGGGCTCATACCCAGGTTATTGGTTCCATACCCGGTTGAGGAGTGTATGGGAGACAACTGAATGATGTTTCTCACTCACATAAATGTTTCTATCTCTCTCCCTTCCTCTCTCTCTAAAATCAGTAAAAACATATCCTCAGGTGAGGACTTTAAAAAAAAAAAAATGACCACCACAGTTTTGGCCTGTGCACCTGGGTAAATTTTGGTGCATATTGAGAAACTTGGTAGGGGATCATATTTATATTTTTTTAAAGAAAATAAGACATGTTACAGACAGTTAAGTCTAAGATAATATTAGATATATAATGAAGATTTCAAATAGAATGCTGGCTATTTGAGCCTGAAGATCAAGAAATACATCAGAATCAAAGATGTAATAAAATTGGTCAGATTGTCATAACTTTAACTTGGGTTTGAGTCTTAGTTTGAGAATGGTTGCAAGAACTAGAAATATACTCAAGCTAAGTTATATAAAAGAAGCTACCATACATAAATAAACTAAACGAAAAGTCTTGAAGGCCAAGAGTTGGAACTAGAGCAGGGTCTCATGCGTGACTGGAATTGCAAACAATAAATCCAAAGAGCATAGTAGTTCATTTTCATTCTTCTCTAGAATTCTGTCTCATATCTCTGTTTCATCATCATTATTTTTTGCACATTGTCTTCCCTACTCATTCACTTGCTTAACATGTGCCTACCCATTCATGGGTCAGTCAGTTCTGCTTGAAGCAAGGTTGGGGTTTAGCTTGGTGAATGCAGTTGCATCTTCTGGAATTTTCAGCTGGTCAGGTCCTCTGAAATGTTCTTTTGAAAATATGGCGGACACATGTAATATGACTCTCCTATCAGCCACCATTACTTTCCTCCGTCAGATGAGTGTATGATTCAATGGTACACATCTTTGTAATTTTTTACCATAAATAATAGTAATGTTTTGTATATAGTGAGCCTTCCAGATTTTTTAAACCCTCAAGAAATGGTACTTCTTTTCCTTTCCAAACCAATAGTTGATTTAATTCTATGTAGCTGCACCAATGACCCCAATCTGGGGGGCTAGAAATTTTCACATCCAGAGGTCTGACTGGAATATTTGGGTCACAGAAATTACGTTTTTGTCATCCACCATCCACGTGTTACCTTTGCCCAGAATCTGAACTGTGAGGGGGCTGTTGTCACCACGTATTTAAAGCTATACAGGGACTTGAGGGAGCCCAGCTGAACAAACAGTACAGTTGGGTCTAATTGCAGTGGCTTCAGCAGAAGAGATGGAACAGCCCTTTAATAAAAAAAGGAAGAATCCTCAAGAGGGTATATTTAGGGCACAAAAATGACTTACTAAAACTAAAAGCTATAATGACTTGGG